ACCTCATTGTTCTGACACACAACACAAAACTATCCACAACACTACACACTAACTACACAAGACAACACATTAACTACACACTCCAAACACGCTAAACGTCGCAAATTTCTCACATCTCAAAACTCGCTCTCTCTCTTTTTCTGCTGTCTTTCTTTCTGTCTCTCTCTCTCTCTCGCCGTCACTCCTAAAACTTCCCCCTCTTCCTAAACAACCAAATGTCATGTTGCCATATAATTTTTGATTGGTCGACATGTTACATTTTTCCATCAACACGAACAGGCTGATTTTTGTTTTGTTTCTTGTTTTTTGGTCATAAGCAGAGAGTGCTTGCTGCGCTGTCCTTAGACAGTAAACGTGACGAAACTATTGAGGAAAAACGCCGCGTATATTGTTTATCATGACTCTGGTTTTATGTGGCCTATTGACACAATTTAAAAACTGGTATATATCACCTTGTTGCTTTGTCATCTTGAAGTGGTCATGTGATTGGCTTACCACGACAACTTTAGTGTTCCTCAGTCAAACAGCAGCACTCATGCGATTGTTTTGCCCCCTTAGCTCCAGGTGTTGTGCCAAAAAGTTGCTGCCTGCGGGAGCGCGCGCAGCTGCTAAACGCTGTAGCGCCCAGATTACTTATGTAGACAGCTACTTCAGTGGAACTGATATAAGATGCGATAAGCTGAACACAGCTTCAACCATCTGTTTGTTGAAAAATAGTAACGCGACCGCACTGCATTTTCTTGTTAGTAACGGTAACGCCGTTGTAACAATAGAAATAGCAATTAGTTAGATTACTCGTTACTGACAAAAGAAATGCCATTACTTGTAACGCCGTTATTCCCGTCACTGATGACAGCTGAGATATGTTCAGCCCCCCTGTGACCCTGATAACGACAGAAGAAAAAGAATGGATGGATATTTTAGATGACATATTATTTTGTGTGTCATGTTTTCCAGTATCACCTCCTCTGCAAATCAAATAACAAGAATGAAAAGTAATAATATTGTATTAGTTGGTGTATGTGTGTGTATTATTCTTCTGTAAACAATATATTCTGAGCTTAGAGATGGATACAAAAATGACCTTAAAATACTTTTTTTAAAAGACTTTTATTACAACATCATAAAAATAGCAAATTAACAGCAGTTTTTAAATATATTTTAGAGGAAAGCAGAATAGTATAAAAAACAAAATACTCACATTTGTTTAAAGAGCTCCATGATCTGATATTGAAATTTTGTCTTTGAGAGAAATGCTTAAATTAAGAAACCAACATGTATTGCATATTTTAAGTCAGTATCCTAAGCTCACTTTAACTGGGAGTTGTTTACTGTGCCAGTCCAACATACCTTAACGAATATGGTAACTTACCGTAACTAACTAGGGGCTTTTATTGTGAAAAGCAGAGATATTCCAAGTTCCTTCTGTTGTCCTGGAGAGATTTAGGACTAGGT